GTCAGTGCTTTGTGTCACATCAGCAGTAACCAGAGTGTTCTATTGGACTGACACGTTTACTGTTAGCCAGCTAACGCTAGCTTTAGACTGGAGGCTACAATTTGAACAGTTTGTCCCAACCAGGCATCTGTAGTTCATGTTGGAAACAGGACATGATGGGAGGGGCAGAGAGCGGTTAGGAGCTCATTATGGTGTCACTTTGTTTTGAATGTCACTGGAGTCTCTGGGCTGAAGAGTAGCTTTACAAGAAAAAGTCACAGTTACCTTTGGACATCAGTGTATGTCTTGCGAGAGTCCTGGTCCAGATGTACAGACAGCGTCCAGTGCTCCAGCATCACGAGGACAATGTTCTGGGTTCGGATTTCCTATAACAAAACAGAAACAGTGTGGTTTCTCTGTTTTGTTGTTCATGTTTCTAATCCAGATACAGTATCTTGTCCTGATTTTATTTTAATTGAATTTATTCTGGTTTTTATGATCATCACTGTTAATGTTTGCCTGTGTAGAGCACTTTACTTCTGTTTGAAACTTAAAGCACTACATAAATAAAGCTGCTTTGTGTTTGTGTTCTTACTGAAGTGTTGTTTTTTCTATCTGTCATCAATCAAAGAAGCTCATAAATTCATCTCTGTGTAAAGCGCTTCACCTCTTGCTCTATAAGCAAACTGACTGCTGGTACTATTTGACAAGCATTGAATCACTACTCACTCTGTTGCACACTGGGCTCACGCTGTCAAAGCTGACGGTGAGGTAATCCTCACCTGGACAAAATGAGAAGGGTCATCTGTCACTTTTTACCTTGAAGGATTCTTTTTGCTCTGACACAAAGATATCAGCTACAGACAGGCGACAAATAAAGGGAACATCCTGAATAAATGAGTGGAAATACAAACTGCAGGGTCACTGATCAACCTGCCGATCACTGTCTTGATCATTTGATTGATCTTTTTATCCACAGAATGTCGAACATTGGGAACAGAGGAGGCGGTGAAGCTGCACCGACCAGCCTCTGTTGACAGTTTGTCCTCTGAGTTGTCTCCCAGTTGTAAATATAAATACAGATTCATACAAAATCCAGACACCTCCTGTCGCGGCTGCCGGCTGTGATGTCACCACCACGAAACATGTCTTCACCGCAACTCCTTTCACAACCTCTCGTTTGCAGATAGATGTCTGTTGAGGACATTCATATAGAGTTAGCCTCGGTTAGCCGAGTGCTGCTGCTGATGTTAATTCAAAAAATGAATGACTACATTATGACTTAATAATTCTAAGTACCTCTGTGTAAGTGACTGAGATGACTGGTCCCTCCACCCTTGGCTTCCTCCATATTCGTGTAGAAGTTTCCTCTGTTGAAACAACACTTGACTGAGCTACCCCAGTAACAGACACCTGTCAGTTTCCACATGCACAGAAGACTGAGAAACATACTTTGACTGAGCTTTTCTTTAAGGTGTCTGAAATCGGGGATGTGGGCCTTCAGATCGGACACGAACACCTCCTCCACCATGTCACCGCTGGAGAGCATCATCTAAACACACACTGCGGTTAGAGGTCATGACACTGACAGCAGGTATCAGACAATTCTTCACTCACAGCTGCACTGATTTAGTTTGTTTGTCCAGTCGAGTGCAGTGATACAAAACATTTATATTCAGTCACATCAGAAAGTATGCAGAGACCTTCACTTTATTGTGTTGTAGATTTAATTTGAAATGGATAAACCTGCAATTTGTGGGCCAGAACATGAACACATTCAGCTATAAGAGGCTAAAAACCTCGACACAGCAGAGAGCAGCAGCAGAGCTCCTGACACACTGTCCTATTTCCATTGCTTCCTTTGAGACATGAAAACCCAGCCTTGCTCTCAGTCATTTGTACGTGTGTAAATGTCGCTATGTGTGGCCGCTGCTCTTTACCTTCACAGAATAGAGCGGTAGCTTAACTGGCTGTGTCCCACAGCGAAGGTAGTAACACAGGTTGTCCAGCAGGTAGAGGCTTTGCTCTGAGGGCGCGCTGTGGTCGTAGCTCTGCAGCAGACAAACAGAAGGAAGACATGCCAGATGAACAGTGGCTCTGCTGCCCTGGTGTCTGTAGCTGCCTGGCACTATGGATGACGGTGCTGAACACAGTGTGCTTCAGGCTGTGCTGAGTGCTGGCATGCTAAAACAATAAACTAACATTACAAAGATCAGTATGTTAGGATTGTCACTGTGTGCATGTCCCATTAGCTCCTGTGCCTGGATCAAGGCCTGGCCATAGACTCAGCTACAGATGACATGCACGCACAGGATAGAAGTAGAAAAGACCCAAATGACAGAGAGATGATGAGCAGAGCAGCATGAGAAACTGGAAGTTGTTTTTGAGCCTGAAACTGCTCAAATCCCAAAAGTACTGAGAGAAAGATGCTGATTATCTGAAGCTCAGGGCAGAACTAGCTGTTAGCTGCAGAGCCGTGAACATGTGCAACAGTAAACAGCACAATTTAGCTTTGGATGCAAACAGTCACTGTGTGAGGAGACGTCCTGCTGCCAGCTGTAACTTGTCTGTAGCCTCCTTTAGCATTATCATGCTACTATAGTTTCTCACTACAATATGTGTTGTGGTACAGGTTCCCCTCTCAACAGTCATTCCATTGGTTTCCAGATGCAGCTTTATTTCTGTTAACATTGTGGAAACATGTTTCCTACTCTAGTGCTTCACACACATCCTTGACTCCTTTGTAAACAGGAAACTCATAGAGTTTTGTTCAGATCCATTTCTCCCCTGTGCCATCTCATATCGGCTTTTTGTCTCCTCAGATCTCAATGTTACACATCAACAGTTTGTACTCAGTTATCATCTCATCTCTACAGCTGGTTACCAGTGCAGGTAGTTTGGAGATTGTTGCTCCCAGGCTGCTGACGTTGCTGTCATACCATGGATCCAGTCTTCTCAATAAGGCGGCAAGTGTGTTGTCACAATTTTCAAAAATTCTGGAAAAACTCTTTAATAACAGATTAGATACATTTATTGACAAACATAAAATCCTCTCTGATTGCCAATTGCTGATGACACTACCATATGGGCATCGGGTGAAAACCTACAGCAACTCTCTGGACGGGTTTCACAGGAACTTGAGAAGATAAAGAAATGGTGTGACAGTAATATACTATCTCTGAATTTGGATAAAGCCAGGAACAATTTATTACCTGGTGGAATTCAAAAACTATTTAATGAAAGGGAAGGGGGATACAATTTAAGGGGTCAGTTCAATTTAAAAATTCATGTTATACGTACAACCAAAAAAAGATTTTGTATTTCTATAAGTGGGGTAAAACTATGGAATAATTTAAGTGTAGACATAAAAAATAGTAATAGAATTGACGAGTTTAAACATAAATATAAAGGTATGTGTCAATCAAGATATATGCAAGAACAGGCTTAATGATTAATTAGATGGAACATTGTGGGTGTGGTGTATGAATGTTAACACTCTGTAATAATTCTTTAGTATATTACTTGTGTGGTGTAGAAGATAATTATTTATGTAGAGATACTGCTTGCAAACCAATGATGGTAAGATGATGTCATGGGGTAGGACTGGATAAGTCTGACTTCTTCCTACTCCATTCAAGCATGTACTAGGTATAAGCACATTGATATTGGATAGCATTTGTTGGATATGTGTGAAATTATGTGTGTTGACATATCGACTGTCTTTACATGCTTGAAAGAATCAATCAAATCAAATCAAATCCTGACACGAGCCGTCCTATGAGGAATACACAAAGACATTACATAGGTTCTTCTAAATTCGCCTGTCAGTCAGTGTGGCTTTGATGAACTCACAGGGGAGCTGAGCGAAGGCTCCTCATCTATGACTGGGATGTAGTAGAACTGGAGGTCCAGCTTCTTGGTCAGAATCAGATGTTTGGACTCTCTCTTTCTGTTGGAAATGTGATGTTGGAAACCTCCGGTGATAAGCTGATTCTCCTCATTCACAAGTGCACATGCACAGTGGAAATGCAGAAGCACCTGCTCACCGAATAGAGTGATAAGCCCTGCCGAGCCTCCCCAGCACACGGTCGTCCCCCAGTACCAGCACCCGTGCCGTGTGATGCTTCCTGTCCTGCTTCAGGACAGGAGAGCTGCCAGCATACACGTCGATCTTCTCCTTCATTAGACTCAGTTTCTGTGCTGGCTGCATGTTCCTGAAGGCGTTTTTCCGTGCAAATACTTTAGAATGCGTTTTGGCTGGAGGCTTCCCTGTGTTGTCACTGTACTTCATGTTGACCCCTCTGTCCTCAGACTGACCCAAATCTCTTTTGCTCTTCTTTTCCTCTTTAACACCAGAGTTAGAGCGCAGGGTGATGTTTGCCAGCAGATTCCCTTCAGGGAAACAGGTTTATTTATTTACTTCTGGATATTGCCTTAACAGAAACATAACATTTGGTTTGTGTCACTGACTCACATAGATCGTCATCTTCTTTCCACAGGAGGAAACTGATCTCTGGAAAGGGCAGTGCAGTGCTGCACACTGAGCCCTGAGCTGCCGTGGTCATCTCTGAGGGGGAAAGTAGTGGAACAGTCCTGTCAAAACGATCCTACTTCTACTTTTAGTAACGTGTGTGATAATGGCAGAGCACACACCTTCTTTAGAGGCAGCGAGGATGTCTCTCTGCATGTGCTGTAGTCTGTTCATGTAGGCTGCAGAACCAGCGGCACCGTGCTTTACACTCTGCTCCACGGCTAGAACCACTTCCTGGAAATATTTCTCCACCATGTGGTCCTCTGAAGCCTGAAATACACAAGAGATGAAAACCAACAAAACAAGAAATATTGAAAATGAATTCAATCTAAATGTTCCTGCGATGGATTGGTGACCTGTCCAGGGTGTACCCCGCCTTCACCCAATTGCCGGCTGGGATTGGCTCCAGCCCCCCCGTGACCCCGTTCAGGGATTAAGCGGTAGAAAATGAATTCAATCTAAATGTTCCTGAAGATTAAAAATAAAAGAGTCTATACAGTCATGCAGCAGCACTTTGAGCTAAATGCTAATGCTTGCATAGCAACCTTCTGTCAGTAACCATGGACGGGCCCTGTTAATGTAACTGTTAATGCTTCTTGTTGGAAAATCACTCCACAACAAAAAGATGCAAAATGAGCAAGAACAGACACAACACAGCTGCAAAGTGAGTGTGGCAGAGCAGGGCTGCCCCTCTGCATATTCAGCTATCCTTTGGCCAGAGCTGCTGGCTCACCTGTGTGTTGCTCACTGGGTGGTGCTATGTCTAGGTGAGTGCTGGCTGCTGCCAGGATTCTTGGCTTTCCCCAGGGTCTGACGTTGTGTGGTGCATGGAGCACAGAAGGCTTCATAAAAAGACGGTATGACTCAAACTGTCAGAGTTCACTAGCTCGTAACAATACTTTCCTGGGGGGTGAAATTCCCTTGGGTAGCCTTGTTGGAAATCAGTAAATATTCTAGCTGGACTTTGGGGCCCACATTAACACATCTCCTTGTCACGCACAAGCACATGATGCAAAAGAAGTACAAGGGAGATAAAAATAACCATAGAGAGATGCAAAGCAACTAAAAAAATAGGAGCAAAATAACTACAGAAGTGAAAAACTACCAAAAAGAGTCAAGAGTGCAAAGAAATGCAAAATGGCCATAACTGAATATAGATGCAAAACAAAATGCAAACTGACCACAAAGATGCCAAACAACCTTTTGTATGGTCGTGTCCAGGGACCCTGTGTCTCACAGTCTGTCCATGACAATGCTAACATGCTGCTGCAGGCACGTTCACCATGTTCATTGTCTTAGTTTATCAGGTTAGCACGCTACCATCGCTAATAAGCATAAACAGGTAATACAGTATTTGGTCATGAACTATATTAGACAAAATTAGCTAAAGGAAAAGTTGCTAAAATTCACATATGAACCTCTTGGTGGCACTGGAGGAAAAAGGTTTCACGATCATAGCCATGACCAGGACTTCATCCTCTGAGAATCATGAATGTCTTTACAAACGTTTGTGCAAATCCATCTGGTAGATGCTGAGATACTTGTCATGATATGTAAGTTTGACCTGCTCACACTGTTAGACGAGCACTCAGGGATCTCCATCATCCTAGCATTTATCCTCTAGGAAGCATGGCTGTACTGTAAGTAAATCTACCCAGGCTTTCAGATATTTCAATCTGGAACAAAGTGGTCTACAGATGAGGCTTTGTCCAAAGGCTCTTCATACCTCCAGAGCCTGAGCCAGCTTGGCGCTCTGGCAGGCCACCCCCAGCCCTGTCTGCAGGACACGGAGCACCAGATTTTTCTCCACGGTTGCTGTGTCTCTGAGCAAGTTGGACACCTCCAAGTGTGTCCTTACTGTCACTTCCAGTGGTGCAGAGAACACAGCTGGGTCTGCCAGCACGAACACCCTGGAGAAAGCCAGAAACCCAGAGCAGGAGCCAACGCGGTTATAACAACAGTTGATTCAGTCTTAAACTTTGCTTCAGGTACATAAGACAAGCTTCACTCACTTTTCCTGCAGAGGGAAATGCTCATTCTTCAGGTTCTGCTCTGCAGTAACTCTCCTCTCATACAAAGAGCCTGTTGAAGGAAAGGTTGTCTTTATTTGACAGCATCACACCACAACACCTGAACATGTGCTCACTGATGGATCATACCTGGTGTGGTCATTTCCATCTTGATGCTCCTCAGAGTTCTCAGGGCCACTGTAGACTGAGGCAACGGCAGAATCAGCAGTTTGATCAGACACTCGTAGACTTTCTGGTAAAGGCTGGTGGGAATCGTGGAACCTGACTGTTGCATTACAATACAGTGAGACAGAAAACACAACTCAATTCACCATTTTGTCTCTATATATGGCAGTGAAGAGCTACAAACTTTTTATACACATGTTATTTTGCCAACTCTGAGTCATACAGGTGTGTCTTACCTGAATAACCACATAGTAGAGAGTGTGCAGCATTGGAATGATGTGGACGCAGGGCTGTGCTTTACCAATCTATGTCAGCAGATCAACAGAGAAGTCACACCAGAATTAGCTTTTCCTCAGCTCTTGCAAATATCCTTTTTCAGCAAAGTTTTGGAAAATCTACATGAAAATTTAAAAAATTTAATTCTGAAATCTGAAAGGAGGGTTCAGGGACAAACCTTGTTAGCCCTGTTCAGCTTCTCCTCCAGCTCTCTGACCAGAGCTTGGATCAGTGGAATGCTGCAGGAGGGATTTGTCTCCACCTTCTTCTCAAGAGTCCACCTTAGCAGTCCTGCAGAGCACAGACAGCTGTTGGCTTTTTGTCTGACTGAGTGTAGCTGGTAATTGTGGGGCATGAGGTCCAGTGTTCATAATCCACTTTAATAAAACAGGGAGATTCAATCCTTTTCTAAAGGAACTGTGCCAAGAATGAAATTTTATTCAGTAAAATCCTAAAGGAGCTGTTCACCATCTACCAGGTGTTGGCTGGTTAGCTTAGCTTAGCATGGAGTCTGGAAACAGGCTCAGCTCAGTCAAGCTGCCACGCTGGCACAAAAAAAAAAAAAAAAAAAAAAAATCATCCACAAAGTTTGCAACAGCCTTAAAAAAAAAAAAAAAAAAAATCATCCACAAAGTTTGCAACAGCCTTGAATTTAGTTGGTGATGCCAAGATCTTTATTTTAATTTTTGCAAGCAAACAAACTAATAATACCAGGCTCCAGATGTGTCTTGTGGCCTAATTAGAGTGATACCAACCTTTTATTCCTTAAATTATGTTTTATTTAAACAAACAATTAACGATATTATTGGTTGTGTAGTAATGTAATTATTCACAGAATCAGAGTGTTGTTTTCTTTTGTTTGCCAGAGCGTGTTTTGTCTTTGTGGTGATGCATTGGGGTGTTTGTTTTCGTCACATGGTGGATCATTAGGAAATTTCATGGTTTGTTGTGATGGGTTGAAATATGCAGTTGCACAGTGTTATAACCGTTTTATATTGGTGTTGAGGAATTTATTGTTCGTATCTCATGTTCTATTATTTTTTTATGTTTTGAGTGTACCACTGTTAGGTTATTTCCTATGTCCCCTGCTCCAGTCAATCACGGAAGAGTCTGTGAACAACCTGTGCTGCGAGTGAGTGAGTTGAACTGTGTTGTCAAAAAGACGAAACTGAGGAAACTAAGCTAAGCTAATGCTAAAGCTAGCTCCATCGTGTCTGCGCTAATTACCTCGTCGAGAGTCACAAGGAAGCACACGGTGTTGTCACTGGAGATTCAGAACTCACCTGCGTGGGGAGACGACAGGGCAGTGGGATTCCATGTCCTGTGTCCCTTGGATGGTAGGAACGAGGTGTGACTGTTAAAATGGTTTCCAGTGGACATAAGCTCCAACGCGCGCCAACGCAAGCTTGCATAACACTTTAAGAGTGCACTCAGGTTGATTTTGTGGTTAAAACATCATTTCAAGGGTTTAAAATATTATTTCATATTTGAACTGGGTAAATTTGTGGTATATGTTTGTTTAATTAATACACAACCTGGAACTGTGTTTAGTGTGTGTGTGTTTATTGTTTCTACACTGTGAAACAAGTAACAAAGTAACAAAGTACATACGTATTCTGAGTTATTTGAAGTAATATCATTTCTGAGAAATCTCCAATTGATGTTTTAAAGGTGAGGATCATACTGAACCCTAGACAAAGTTTCTTACATTGGAATGTCTCTTTTGCCAATTAGTTTTTTTGAGTTTAGAGGGGTTTGCACTAAGTAGCTATTCCCTTACTATAATGAGCCGGGTGGCAAAAGGGCTACAGATGCATTAATGCTTTAAGTGTACAACTACCTTTCTGGGAAGCACTTTCGCTGTTCATCTCTCTGAGAAGAGCCTGGATGTCATTGTGCAGGCTGGACTCCACAGCTGAGGAGAGAGACAGGGCAGCTGAAGGAAAAGATCACACAGCTTCACATTCTGCTACCAGCAAAGCAGGTTTGTGCACTACAGTCTACAAACTGTGAGGGGACATGAGAGCACCCACCTGTGGGATCAACCATCTTCCCTGGTCCACCTGGTGCTGGTCTCTCCTGTCATCAAATGTTCAACAGTGACTTGTTTGTGTCTGAAAATTCACTGGCATGAACTTCAAGTCCCAAAACGGAACCAGCTCAAACAAGCTGCACAGATTTATAACAAACAGAAACGTGATCTGGTGCATCACCAGATAAAAAAGGAAAGAAAGACCAGTATATTTCTGTTTGCTACGAGGCCTGAAAACGCTCCTGAGTAACCAAACCCCTGAAACACATTTGCTCTGTATGTAAAGTCAGTTAAGTTGGAGTATTTGCAATGACCCAGAACTCACCACCGTAGCTTCTATTCTTTTAAACATCTGAAAAAACAAAAACATGAAAAGTTCCCAGGTGGAGATTCTGTGACACTGCTGCTGCCTGTGAATGAGACAATGTGAGCACAGGAGGTGGTGTTTACTGCACCAGAGACAGGGCGTGGTTACCTCAGAGGAAGTCACGAAGAGTCAGTGGCTGAAAGAGACCAAACAACCGACTGACGTCCTGTTTATTGCTTTATTTCTTATTTTCATTGTTATTTACTGTTTACAAACATGAAGTCAAATTCCTTGCATGTTCAAACATCCCTGGCCATTAAAGATGATTCTGATTTATTTCAGGTGTGACATATAAAAACAATTGCATTGCTGTCACTTCAAAATAAATAGCTTATCTTATTAGACATTTCTAAAAAAAAAGTGTGGGGGGTCAATCTGTCATGGATCACCAGAATGTACACAGTAGAAATCAGGTAATCAGTTTGAGACCCTGTAAAATACCAGCATCAGTTAAAACATGAGACCAAACAACAAAACGATCCTCTACCGGGTGCACGCTGCTCCTCCTGTGATGAACACTGATGCTACACTACAAGACAAACTGAAAATAAACTGTGTGTAGGTCAGTAAAAGTTACTCTGATTATTGCCGTGCCACTGCATCCTGTGCTGGTTTGGTTTACATGCCCTGTAGTAAGTTACAGCTGTGTGCAAACATCTGGGAAAAATCACATACTTTGATGAAATTTGAAGTGACAAGGATGCGACCTCTGCAGCAAACAGACATTAAAATGGACCAAAAGCTAATGTTTCTTTTCATTTCATAAATTTGAAAAGAATAATGTTTGTTTCTGTCCTCGGTTGATGAAGTTTCAGCCTCTTCCTGCAGATGACACCAAGTACCTCAGCCTGTCCTACAACCTGCCCTCAGGTTTCCAGAACCAGGTGCCCGTGAGCGCCGCCCCAAAGCTTCAGCTCGTGGTCGTTGAAGTAGCTGCAGAAGCCGAACTCTTTTTTTGTGGAATCCGTTCTTCCCTCTGTCCGTGCATTGTTTCCTCTGCCACTGGCTGTAACACGGCCCCAAACAGCTGGCCACACATCTCTTCCTCTAGACATCTGTTTCTCAAGCCACTCTGCTCATCCAGATGTTGCTTTGCAGATGCAGACTTGACTTTTGTGATGAGGTAATGATTTAGACCCTGTCTGTGCCTCATTACTGCAGATGTGCAGTTTTATCTGTAAGTTTTCTTTGTCTTCCACATCTTGTTTTGACCCTTAACTGCCACTTCTTAGTGACATTTCAGACAGTGAAGAGTTCAGGCTGGAAACACACTGATAACCTTTTATAGCACCTCCTGCTTTGTAGCATCAGTTAGCTTCATTCTCAGGTCCTCAGTCAGCTGCTCGGAGGAGTCAGAGACTTTCTCACCAGCCAATAATCCTTAATGTCAGTTTCCTGCAGGGGTTCCTCACTTCATAAGCCAAACTTTTGCACACAGTTCTACTGGCACTGCGGTGGTCTGGTTCAGTGCGGTACAAAGTGTGTCAGGGATATGAGGCGGAGAAGGAGGTGATGGGGAGGCAGAGCAGAGAGCAGTAGGACAGGTGCAGAGGGCGGACTTGGCCCGGCAACGGCTGGTAGGCCCTCCAGTCTGAACCTTGGCCTGGTTTACAGCACAGAGACACCTCACACCTGCAGGTACAGTAGTATAAAGTAGAATAACATGGAAATACTCAGGTAAAGTTCAAGTACCTTAAAACTGGAGTTAAGTACAGTACTTGAGAAATGTACTTTCTACCGTGCCATACCTGGTGACACTCTGGATGAACTTCTTCTCATCCTGATCCAGACACACATCGAACGTCATCCCGTGCTCTGCGCCATTCACCTGTACCTTGTCCACCGTCACCTCGGACACTGAGATGTGCTGCCACGGGGAACGTAGACGAAGAGGACGAGTAAGCTTTGGCTGTGAGACCGTGTTTAGTCTCAATGTGCAAAACCACCACTCACCTGGTTGTAGCACTTCTTAGTTTTGGAGTTCTGCCTCTTCAGGACTTCAGCCATCGTCAACTGGAGACTTTCTGTTCTTGAATCTGGACGGACAAGATTTGATTTGCTAAGGAAACATGATGCAATGAGAACAAAAGGGAGAGCAGGACTCGGGGAGTCACTGTCACACACCTAGCTGCTTGGGCTTCCTGCAGGCTGTGTACAGATTAACAGATGTGCAGACTATCTCCGCCTGGATCCACTGACTCCTCCCACTAACAGCCACCTGTAACGGAGAGTAGACGGGCTGGTTTAAACATAGCTCTGTTTGGCAACTTTAATATGCAGATGTGGCTAAATGTGTTGGTCCCCTTCCACCTCACTGAAACAGCTCCAGGTTCTTCCTGAGAAGTCAATTAAAGCCATCGTACCTGCAGCCTTTGGCCTGCACAGAATATAACAGGGAAGCTGGCAAAGTGGAAGGTACCAACACTTTGAGCCACGTCTGTAGCATCTTATTGTCTGAGCTGCAGGACGTCTGTGGGTGTCAGAGCAGGAACAGCACCTTGTTGTAGGACACACTTAGTGTCAGTGGGACAGCCTCTCGCTCTTCATCGATCCCAAGCCTTTTGCTGGCAGCGCCTACATACAGGACAACATGGTACATAGATGATATGTGTGTCTGTGTGTATGGTTGTGTGTTGTGGCTGTCCGTGACTCACCCATGGCCTTCACTGCTCTGGTTCCAGCAGAGTGCCCCAGCTCCAGAGAGTAAATGAACACTTCCCTTCTCCTCTCCCCTCCAGCCAGAGTCAGCTGTGCAGAGGAAACAATACAAAGCACCTGCTGTGAGCAAGTCAACCCACGGTCACTCTTGTATTTCCTGCAGCAACACACTGTGCGTGGTGCTCCTCTGACCTCGGCCTGATAGAGCTGCACCAGAACAGGCCGGTCTGCTTCTCTGCAGTAATAAAGCACCAGGTCGGCCAGCAGGGGAAGACGCTCCACGCTGCCGCTGCTCCCTGAGACGTCCTCCTCCTTACAGGACTTCTGGGTCACAGAGAGCACAGGAGACATTCTGACAAAGGTAACAATATAACAAGGGAGACCTTAATTTTCACAAAGCCTGCTGACTCAGTGTTTTTAGATCTTTTTGTCAGATGTTACTAGGTACACTGAAGTATAATTACAAGCATTTCATAAGTGTCAAAGACTTTTATTGACAATTACATTAAATTTATGCAAAGAGTCAGTATTTGCAGTGTTGACCCTTCTTTCGCAAGACCTTTGCAATTCGCCCTGGCATGATGTCAATCGACTTCTGGGCCACATCCTGACTGATGGCAGCTCATTCTTGCATAATCAATGCTTGGAGTTTGTCAGAATTTGTGGGTTTTTGTTTGTCCACCCGCCTCTTGAGGATTGACCAACAGGTTCTTAATGGGATTAAGGTCTGGGGACTTTCCTGGCCATGGACCCAAAGTTTTGATGTTTTGTGCCACTTAGTTTTCACTCCATCATGCTGGAAAAGGCAGCATTGTTGGTCACCAAAATGTTCTTGGATGGTTGGGAGAAGTTGCTCTCGGAGAATGTTTTTGTACCATTCTTTATTCATGGCTGTGTTCTTAGACAAAATTGAGTGAGCCCACTCCCTTGGCCGAGAAGCAACACCATACATGAATGGCCTCAGAATGCTTTACTGTTGGCATGACACAGGACTGAGGGTAGTGCTCATCTTTTCTCCAGACAAGCTTTTTTCCGGATGCCCCAAACAATCGGAAAGGGGATTCATCAGAGAAAATGACTTTACCCCAGTCCTCAGCAGTCCAATCCCTGTAGATCAATCCCTGACACCAGTCCATCCTCCAAAAGTCTTCGGCTCACTGTGCGTGCACATGCACTCGCACCTACCTGCTGCCATCCCTGAACAAGCTCTGAACCGGTGCTGCCCCGATCCTGCAGCTGAATCAACTTTAGGAGATGGTCCTGGTGCTTGCTGGACTTTCTTGGGTGCTCTGAAGCCTTCTTCACAACTATTAAACCTCTCTCCTTGAAGTTCTTGATGATCCAATGAGTAGTTTGATTTAGGTGCACTTGTTCTAGCAGCAATATCTCTGCCTGCGAATCCCTTTTGTGCAAAGATAACTGCACAACAGAACAATGATTTCAAGCACCACCCTCCTTTTAAAGCCTCCAGTCTGTTATTCTAACTCAATCAGAATGACAGAGTGATCTCCAGCCTTATCCTCATCAACACTCTCACCCGTGTCAACGAGAGAATCACTGACACGATGTCAGCTGGTCCTCGTATGGCAGGGCTGAAATGCAGTGGAAATGGTTTTTTTTTGGGATTAAGTTCATTTTCATGGCAAAGAGGGACTTTGCAATTAATTGCAATTCATCTGATCACTCCTAACATTCTGGAGTATATGCAAAATGACATTATAAAAACTGAGGCAGCAGACTTTGTGAAAATTAATATTTGTGTCATTCTCAAGACTTTTGGCCACAACTCTAATTCAAAAGCTGTTTTATTGGTAGGGAGAAGAACCAGTTTGAGTGAAAGGATAAAATAACACCACGGTGTGGATAAAGAACTGAGCAGCAGCAGTTATAAGAGTCACTTCTGTCCCTCTTTCCTTTCAGTGGTATCAACTGTGGATTGGTAATTAAACCACAATGTGATATTAACACTCGTTCCTAATGTATTTAAGTGTCTGTTCTAAATAACCATGTCGAATGAATAACTAATAACAACAAATCAGTAAATAACTCATTAGGATTAAACGGTATTAATGTTGCACTACCTGCAACTCTCTCCCCACCCACTGTACCTGAGGCAGCCCACCCCATTTCAGAGAAAACTCCCCCACATGCAGGAAGTGGTGCATTTAGGAGCTGTCCAACAGGAACGACTCGGGGCTCAGTGTGTTGCCCTGCTGCAACAGGAAGAGTGGGGGATCGAGCCGCCAAACGTGTGATTAGTGGACAACTCGCTCTGCCTCCTGAGCCACAGCTAAGCTGAGACTAACTCTCTTGTCTTACACTGTGTCTCGTAAGGTGCAGGGTGTGGAAGGTACCTGACGAAGGACGTCTGAGGACAGGCTGAGCAGACTGAGGACGTTGCGCTTGTACCAGGGGTCCATCATGCCCAGCATTTGGGCGATATCAACCGTACTGTCCTCCACTGCAACGCCATTTGACTCCTATCAGAATGAAGAGCTAAAACATATTAATACCCTGATTAACTGAACACGTAGTAACATTTCATGTCATTAGAGAATCTGTTAGCAGGTCTATGCAAATAAACTACCACGTCCTAGTACGAAGACTGTCTTCACTAAACCGATGGCTCTATGAATCATTTACTGAGCAGGGCAGTTATAACTGGTACAATATTTATGACCTGGGAAAGGGCAGCATTCACGCCAAAATCCACTGATTACCATCATATTAAAATACATAATTAATGACTTGCTGTATTAACCCTTCATTAACATTTATAATGACAAATAGGTTTTTGAGCTGTTTACTTATTAAACACTGAGAAACCGCTGACCTGTTTGACTCTACTGCATTATACAGGGAGGTGTTCCCAATATTTTGTCCACCCCATTTATATCAGAGGCTAGACTAAACACCAGAACCAGCTCCCACTGCAACACGGTGCAGTTGAACAGCAGCACACAGCTGAACTGACGCCTCTGTTTGACTAAACTGGCTCGGTCTGAGAAGGTGTTCCTAATAAACTGACCACTGAGACCACTGACTCAAAGGCTGAGTCGGCTGAGTCAGCTGAGCTGTGACTGTGACTGTGACTCATACTCTCACCGCTGAGGCAGCAGCTTTGGCTGAACTTCCTGTCTGCAGGTCAGCTGCTGTGTGTCCTCCTGCTGCACTGCTCCGCCTGGTGGGAACAAAGTAGAACTGCAGTCTGCATATCCTGGTGAGTCGGGGACACTTGCTCTCCTTCTGCTGCAGGTCGCTGTAAGCTCTGGCCAGCCTGCCGGCCTCCCTGTCACCTCCAAACACCACTACTTTGACCAGGGTGGGCGCCTCGGCCACATCGGCCTCGCTGCAGCTCAGGATCGGCCTCCTGCGGACGCACAGTTGCTTCTGGGGGACAAGAGGATCTAAGGCAGCAGCGGATGCCTGCAGGGAGCAGACCTGTCTGGAGGGTTTGAGCGGGGAGTCTTTGGTAAGATCACTACGACAGGCCATGCTCTGGGCACGGCGGCAAACGCTCGGGCTGCGGGGAGTCTTGAAAAGCATGGAGAAGCGCTCAACTCCTAACAGGGATCTGGACTTCTTTTTGGGTTTCTTTCTAGGCTTCGGTTGGCTCTCTCCTCCCACCTCTGGGTCCTCATGTCCCGTGTCCTCACTGAAGTCACTTTCCACACCTGACGAGCCGGACGGCAGCGACCAGCCAGAGGATTGGGAGTAGCAGGAAAACGCAGAGTCCCTGGAGGAAGAGGATGCAGTGGAGATGCGGTGGTTTTGAAACTCCTGGTTCATTTTGTTTGCCTCCAGCTCATCTTCCTCATCCACAGTGGCATCTGTATTATCCTCCTGGTCTAGGAAACAGTCTGCAGGTGAACCCAGGTCGCTGGTGAGGATGTCATAAAGAATATCTGCATGGGTGTCACACAGAGAGGACTTTCAAAGTTAAGGAATGACGTCTAATAAATGATGCAGGCATGGGGGTGCGGTTCTCACTGAGCTCATTACCAAAGCTGTCGTTCTCCCAGGAGCATGTGTGACATCTGGGGAAGGGCAGCATGAAAGTCTCAACAGCTCCTAATGAGAGGAGGCGAGAAGTGCTCAACGTAAAGAAGCAGGTTCAGCAAAACAACCACAGTTGGTCCTTTGTGTTTATTTCTGCCTTACCAGTGTGTGAGCAGCCGTCGGCAGCAGCCAGGCGCCCTCTGAGCCTCTCCATGCTGCTCAGCAGCCCCTCTCTGGCTGCGTTGACATCTGCGGTAGATGCTGCCGCCTCCATGCTCTTGGTCACGGCCTCCAGGAGCTGCTCCAGCTCCTCAGTCTGCTTTGTCTGGAGGAGCACAAAGTTTGGTTTAGAGTGCATCTCCCCCCCAAAAAAACCAACCAAACAAACAAAAACCCAGGGGTAGCAGTGCTGGTGGGTCACCTTTAGGGCAGTGCGGAGCGCCTGCAGGTCAAGTTTGGAGCCCAGAGTTGCCTGCACAGCATGACAGATGAGGGTGACGGTGATGTCTCTGCTGGTGTGCTGGGTGCGGGTCAGCTGCTCAGACACATACTGGACCTCTGGAGGGGCGTCTTCATCTGGGCTCACCAACAGCACCATCCTAATACAAACAAGGAGAGTGCTGGATCAAAGTGTGGATGTGGTTTCATTTTTGAAGTGCCATGAAGACGTTTACGATGTGTACAGGAGTAGTAGCAAGGTTTGGGCTGTTTTAATGCCATTTACACTGTTACCATTCAACTCAGAGATAACTTACATGGTTTTAGGGCTGTGACTCTCGGGTGAGAAGCCCTGCTCCGTCCTCAGCAGTCTGTGAAACGAAATACCTGTAACAAAAGCATAAGCCAATCAGCCATAACATTATGACCACCTGCCTAACACCGTTTACACAGGAGTCCATGTGGCAGTTGGTCGTGTCTCTCTGCAGCTCACTGTGCATCGTCTGTGAATCCATCTGCTTCCTCTACTGTCAGGAAGAGCACAGATGTGTCTACAGTTCAGTGAAAAACGTATGTAAAAGGAGTGAAAACTGGTGGTGAGGACGAGTTAGAGAGAATTATCTAGACCAGTCCAACAGCCTCACCGCTCTAGGTGTGATATCACCACTACAGCCCCCGACTCTTTCTCTTCATAGAGACCAATGGACAGTGTTTCTCATTTTCAACCATTTTAACAAAGATTCAAATTCATTTTAATCATCTGTGAATTACAAATGGAAGTTAAAAGTTTAATCTACAGTAGGTCAACCTCATCATCAGTGAGCCGTGGGCGTCCATGACCCTGTCTCCAGGTCACCGTTTGTCCTTCCTTAGACACTGTTGGGAGGTACTAACCACTACAGACCAACAACACCCACCAAGACCTGCAGACTGGGAGATGCTCTGACCCAGTCATCTCACCATCACAGGTTGGCCCTTGTCAAAGTCACTCTCATCCTTATGCATGGCTGTTCTTCCTGTTAAATGTAGCAAGCAAACAGCACCCTCTATGTTCACAATGACACATGACAGCTGCCCCCAGCCTTGGGTTGTGTACATTTTATATGCATTTTTAATGTTTTGTCTATCTGTGCACCTTGATTTGCCTTTGTACAAGAAAATGTGCTATAAAAATAAGATTTCCTTCTGTTTTCAGACATCATCAGCAAATGTGTTCATAGAATTTTAAACTGTTGTGTTGTTTAACATCAATAACCACAAAAAAGTGAAGTAACTGCCAGTGTTCAAGTTGGTTTGGTTGAGCTTATGTTTGTATTACTATTGGCGAGAGCTAGAAGTTTCAACCATTTATCCATTTACCCATTACCTCAAGGTAAACCATAACAGCTGATTTAAAAGTTTTCATTACTCACAACAAAGTATTTCAACTGTATACGTCTTACTAACAGGAGTACATTGCATTCGCCAAAGAAATAAAGATTTGGAGGATGTTATTGTGTAGTTATGAGACACAGGGGATGCAGGGTTCCCTGTGGGTTTAAAGAATTCTTTACTATCAAAGCAATGTACCCATAGTATATACAATAATACATTCAAAAAACAAACTGCTGATATATAATTTGGTGTACTTAGTGGTTCAAAACATATACAAATGTAGGCGACAACAACAAACAGTGTCCAAGCTGCATCATACTTCCTGTTTCTTGTAAAAGTGTGATTTGTGAAGACTTTTCACGTTTCATGTAACATTTTCCAAATTATTATGCAAAAAACACATTGATATGTACGTTCATATGCATTATATAGATACAGTAACTTAGACTTAGATGTAGACAATTTAATCAGGCCTTTAACAATGACTGATAACCGCTCTATCCTTTTACATGACTTAACATCATTAGTCATCACTTGTGTGAACAGATGTTTACAAGAAACAGGAAGTATACATGATGTTGCCATGAATGGTGTACAAGGTGGGCAAATACTAAAGAATTCTTTAAAAGCTGATGTTTTACGATCTGACGCGTTCACCTCCTCCATTCTCCTGTGGTGCAGAGTTACCTGGTGCTCTGAGCTCCTGCTTGATGACGCTCAGCAGGCGTTTGGCGGCAGAGCAGCAGGGCTCCGGCCAGGACAGGAAGCTGTGGAACAGAAGGTAGGCCTCCTGCAGGACGCCACAGTCCGGGGCCACGTACGGAGCCTGACAGAGGCAGAGGAGGAACACATGACCTGGCTGCATGGAAATATTGTGCAATGAGTGCTCAAAACTTCTCCTTCAAACTGAAACTGTTCCACTACACCCACTGACTTTTAGGAGGGCTGAAGAGAACAGGAGAGAAAGAGGCACCACCAGCTCATACTGACACTGCTCTCGCACCTGTAAGACAAAGAACAATCCTGGCATGAAACCATGCACTCGTTCCTCTTTTCACACTGAACAGTTTAGGAAAGGATGTTGGTTTATCAGCATTTGACCTCTTTTGTTTTCCTCAGTATTTTCTGCAGAAGGATGAGGAAGTTGTGGGGATCTCTCTTCACAAGTTCCTCCAAACACCAGCGGTTAGTGCACATCCCCGCTAGTCACGGACAAAAACACAAAAACATCAGCAGCCGATTATTTCTTCTTTTAGGTTTCACTCTGTTGACACTACTGAGATACACAACTAATATTTAGTGATGTGCTGAATGACATCTGATTACACCACGCTGTTTGTTGCCAAAGTTCTGAATGAAGTTGTTGAGTATTTCAAAAGTGAACTTGCATAAACCAACATGTTACATGACCCTCCTCCTCCTGTGTGTCACCACTTTTACTTCCCACTGTGACTCCACATGATGGGCAGTGTGTTCCCAGCTGGTGTGTAATATTAACCTGGTTTAAATCTAATTACTGCCTTCATTTACTCAGTTAATGTTTCAGTGAAGTTCAGCAGCAGCGTGTCAGGACACCCTTATCTCTCACCACCACCTCTGCATTGTACCTGATGTAGATTTGTAGGGTCAGTTGTGGACCCAGGTTCGGTTCATAGTTCCAGTATTGTTGGTGTTAAAAGCAAGAATGGGATCAGGACTTACCATTCCAGAATTGTTTGTCAGGAGTGTGAGGACCCAGGTCACACAGGCACCGCTCGAGGACGTGCTGGATACGATCCTCTGTACATGAGCTCTGCTCCATCTTCTGCAGAGGCATCACAACATCCACAGACAAATACAGGGGATGAACCAACAGGAAGTCACAAAATAAACAGTTACATTCTATTGTTATGTTCCAGAAAACCAATAAATGATGCTGCTTCACTTGTCAGACTTCTCGTTACTATTGTTGGCGTCACATTGTAATTATTATTGTTCCCTACCAGAAACGATCAGACACGGACCAGTGAAAGGCTCCCTTGTACAAACCGAGGCGTCGGGGCTGAGAATGCCAGTGAGTCACAGACTGGGTGAGCGGACCGGAGGTGAGCCAGTCGAAACAGCAACCACAACTTCTACTTTTTCATTGTTAAAATCAGCTACTGACACCAGCGTTCATATGACTCGGACTGAGATGGAAATAAATCCTACCAAAGGACAACTTCCTGTTTGATCCTTACTGAGTTTATAACAAGTAAAGACAAGTGCTTTATAGCTATTCAGCTACATCGAAGCAACAAAATCAGAGAAAGTACAACAGGAATTTGCTCCCTACAGATCGTGACACCTGTGGTCAGGGTGCACAGACATCTACATGTGCACTGATGCCACAGAGAACAATCAGGTTTCATTGGAATAATGAAAGACTTTGAATTTAAGCAGAGGCTCATTTAAAGAAATCAGATCAGAATGGGGCTGCTCTGCCTGTTTCCAGGATGTGCACATGGAAGCTTTACTGGTGTCTAGCTGTATACAGTTAATGTGGTGTGTAGGGACACAACTGGAGGACCGGGGTCGCCTCTCAAAACAGGAAAAGGCTTTCCGGGAAGCGGCCAGTGTAAATCAATGCTCTTCTTTAGACGAGACATGGGTGGAAACTGGGGATCAGTTGCACTAACACTCAGTAAAGTGTGTGGGCACAGCAGAGTATCATGTCACAGCCTTGTCATCAACGCCACCATACTCAGTATGTTTCAACCACTGTTTATTCGTGGCTTTTATCTGACTATGTCAGCTGCTCAGCCAGCTTCAGGTCGCAGCAGTGAAACGAGGGTCTGTGCAGTGTGTTCCCCATCAGTCGGTACAATATGTTCCCCTCTGAAACTCCAGGGGTGCTGTACTAAATGTCACCACCTTAGCTACTATGCTAATGTTGCTACTGTAGTTGTAGATCAGTACGTCACAGAGCCAAACAGTGGCGTGGTCCAGAAACACAAGCAGAGGTCAGCAGTGACTGTTCAAGTTCAACAACTGTGAACTTTCAGACAAAGGTGGCGGATTGTGACTAAGACACCGTCAGTCCTGGATGGAGGTTTTCAACTCCGTCCTGAAGTCAGGTAAAACCT